TAATTTAATCATTAAATTTGAATGTATTATTGTTAAAAAATAATATGTGGCCCACAACAACTTCTACCTATATGATGTGGCCCAGTCTTCATAAAAGGTTGGACACCCCTCTATTAGACAATATTTTGGAGAATATCTAATTAAATAATGTTGTCTATGATAGGCAGAAATTTAAACTCTCACCTGTTATGAAAGTTTGATGAAATTAATCCAGAACACTGTGATTTATGTCAAAACCTGCTACACAGTTAAGTTGTTTGTAGAGTGGTAGAGTAGTAGAACACAGAGGAAACAAGTGTTCAAGTATCTTACACATGATAATTAGATAATAAATATGTAGCCATAAAGAAAATTAATAAGTGAGTATGTATTCAATATTCATAATATAAAATTAAAAAAATACCAAATAAACTAATTGTTTTAAAAATATATTTTTATACAATTTTAAGTCGATAAAAAATAAAATAGCACTTTGTTACCTACATAAAAATCAAATTTTAAACAGTAGTTTTGTTGAACAGAATAGAATGGTACCTTGCAAAATGTAAGTCCAAAATTCTTCTTGTTTATACATTAAGTACACACTTAAAACTAAAAAACTACTAATACGATATTTTGATTTTTTTGAATCGAAAAACTCCAAAACTTATTCTCATATGTAATATTAAATTATAAATAAAATATATTTTATTTCAAAAGAATAAATAACTGTTAAAAACTTATAACCATAGTAAAAATAAATAAATATAATTTTTCGAAAGATATGTATCCAAAAACATTATTAGTTTTTGAAATACCTAAGGAGTAATGAGTGTCATATGCATTAAACTCATCTATGGACCATATAGTTTGTAATTTCTGGAAAGTGATTAAAGGTACCTACTAGGTACAACCTCATCGTAAAAATATCTTATGTAAATCATTTAAATGTAATACTTAATATTAATTTATATTTTCGATAAAATTACTTTTAATAATGTTACGTCCCGGCTGAATGTCGATTCATACATCAACATAGAGATGAAATACTGATGTTTACAATGTAATAATGTTTTTATTTTCACAAGTTATTAATAATTGATACAAAAATACAGTTTATATGCTATAAAGGTGTTGGTGAACGGTGTTACGACCTTATTCAGAAATATTGTTTTAAATGACAACGAGTGGTTTTACGACCTGCCTATAAGTGTCTTAAATGTCCCTAACCGTCTAGTACAAATTTAAGAACCGTTTGGCTCACATTTTAGAAAAGTTTTCGATCAAATCGATTTTAGTTTTTGATGGAACTTTAAAACAAATGACTATAGATACTTGAGATTTTCACTGAATATTTATACAGGCATTTTCTATATTTAATTTAAAAATAAAATTTTTTATGAATTTCTAGCTTAAAATAATTTGCGAATTTTCGTGATTTTTACGTATGTTGTCAAAATTAAAATTTGAATGCTTGTAAAAAAAAATTGTGACTATGTAYTTCTTTTATTTTTCAACTGCTATTGTAAACATATATTAGGAACCTTGTATTTAATTTTCAAGCTTTTCTACCCAACAAATAAATTTTTATCGATACTTATAGAAAAAAAACTAAAAAAGTTGAAAAATTAAAATGTCAGTAAACAGCTCAAAACAAATCTAAATATTTTGAAAATTGTATCAAATATAGAAAATGCCTCTATATACATTCAGTGAAAATTTATTAAAATTGTTAAAATTGTCAAATTTGTAAGGAATCTTGTATTACATTTTCAAATCTTAGATCTAAAAAGAAAAACTCTTGTGAATTTCTGTCTAAGATAATTTGAACATTTCCGTATTTTTTAGGCATTTAGTCAAAATTTGAACTTTGAATGCTTATAAAAAAAATTGTTTCTATGAATTTTTTTTTATTTTTCAACTGCTATTGTAACAATATGTTAAGATAGAGACTTGTATTAAATTTTTAAGCTTTTCTACCCAACAAATGAATTTTTATCGATATTAGTTTTAAAAAAACTAATAATTATCGAAAATTGCAAATACCTATGAATAGTTAAACTTAAATCTAAATCTAGATGAATTAGGCTCCTAAAATATTTTTACAATWGCAGTTGAAAAATACAAGAAATGTATAGTCACATTTTTTTTTTTACAAGCATTTAAATTTTAATTTTGACAACATACGTAAAAATCACGAAAATTCGCAAATTATTATAAGCTAGAAATTC